GACCACATGCTCCGGCGTTTCATCCACGTTGTAACACTCCGCTGCGTGTCCGAACCGATGCAGGTATTTCCTGAGCAGCCGTGGCCAGACAGGAACTGCGTTAGGTAGAAGTTGACTTCTCCGTGTTTTCTGTTCACCCAGGTCGAAAAAATCGGTATTAGTCGTCGATGTGTCCATCTACCGTTCTCCGCCGTGTTCCACTCCTGATGCCACTTAGCCAACGATTCCATTCTCACAACTTTCTGTACTCTTCTGGCTTCTCTCCGCCTGTAGCACCCGCTGTCCTCCGCCAGGGTGATGCCGATAGGGATCATTTCAGCGATAACGCATACTGCTTCCGACGAGATGGTTCTGTACGCACTCACGCATGGCCATGAGCCGGAACGTACTGCTCAGTTTCCTTTGGTTCTGCTTCGTTTCCTGCACTGCATCCCAGGCTGAACCTCCATACCTCAGTATCGACGACGGCACACTGGCCAGACTTGCTGAGACCAGCGTTGTTCGAACTTGATTCTAGCTATCGCGTTGATGGCCTTCGAAGCCTTGTCACAGGTATATGGCTGTAGAAGTTTAACCGGTCATCGATCGTAACTCCCAGGTATTTCAAAACGCGCTTCGAGACTATGGCGACAGTGATTTCTGCACACTGCACTGCTTTACAGTTACTGACCAATAGCACTTCCTTCCGTTTTGTGGTGGCCTATCTGCAGCTTCACTCCTTGCATCCAGTTACCAATCATGTCGATCGCCTCGGTTGTCAACACTTTCACCTCTTCCTGCGTCTCGGCTGTTACCGTCAAGACGACGTCGTTGTCCCCAAAGCCAACGATCTCAACTCGTTTGGGCAGCTTCAGCGTTGGATCAAGGATGGAGCCTTGTGGAACTGTGTGTCTACCTCGTAGACTAGAACCCGGTTCTGCAAATAACTCCTCAGGATCCTGCACAGGTAGTCAGGGACCATCATTTTATGCTGCGCTTCGGCGATGGCCTCCCAGCTGGCGCTGTTCAATGCATTCTTGACATCGATCGTTAGCTTCTGTTTGGACACCTCCTCGGCTGTCTCGATAACTATCCGAAGTGCATTCACTGTTAATCTCCCTTTCCGGAATCTGGACTGCGTGCCTCATTTCGTCAGCCTGTTTAGGATGATCCTCTCCAAGAGTTTTCCGAGTGTATCCAGCAGGCATATAGGCATGTACGATGCTGGATCCCCCGGCGGTTTTCTTGGTTTCTGCAGCAACACTATTTAGCTTCTGTATCTTCCACCCGTCAGGGAAGTGACCCTCGTCCAGGCATTTCTACAGCACCATCTTAAACATATCCGGGGACGCCTAGATCGCCGCTTTCAACGCCACGTTGGAGATTCCATCCGGAGCGGGAACATTCTTTACCTTCAATCTTTTCGCCACTGCTACGAGTTCCTCGTTCGTGACTTGGACGTTATCGTGTCGTTGGGTCGTGCTTCGGGAAAAGTCCTGCCCCGATAACTTTCAGGTTATCTGGGCACATTTCAGCGGGACCTCTGATCTTCGCCATCACGACTCGGTATGCGTCGCCCCAGGGGTTGCTATCAGGGTATCGACACAGCTCCTTAAAGCTGGGTTTAGACAGGGCAAGTCAATTGATCAAGTCAGTTGAATTCAACTGACTTGAACGCGAATTGAACGTGTAAACCATCCCAAGTAACAATTATGGTCTTATGAGGGTTCTGTAGATCATGATTTAGACTTGTAGAATGCTATAAAACCACGATAAAACTAGCAATGTTACTTGGGATGCCATTCAACTGACTTAATCAACTCACTTGAATTGAAAAAAGTTGAACCAGGCTCAACTTTTCAAGTCCATTGAATTCAATTAAGTTCATCAAATGACCTGCCCAGTCTAAACCCAGCTTAAAACAGTTGGACTTGCTCTGCTTTATCTCTCGTTTAAGTGCGGTCCTGGCCGCTCGGAACACTCTTCTTCGTTCCTCTCTGTACACGCTTATTCTGGTCAACTCAAAATTGAGTCGAATGTACTCATCTCAGCGGCAAGTTACTTACGTTGACTCACTTTTGAGTAAACGACGTTCTCACGTAGACTGAGTCAAATCCACTCGCCGGTATTTTCAGTTGCGGGGAGGGTTTTTGTTTTGATTTTTATTCAAGGAAATGGAAATTGCCTGCTCCGGATTCATTCTACCGCAGCAGAAAATGGTTCAACACCGTTTCCCTAAGCAATGCGTACTTACCTGAAGGCATTTCAGCCATTTACATTTTAAGTAACATTTTCTATGAGGTTACTTCCGAAATGACTGGCATTTTTTCCAAGTCCAGGATTTTGCTGATTGAGTGGCTTTTACTCAGTTTGACATTTCTCGTTTACTCAAATTTTGACAATTCGATACATCGGACGAAAGTGAGTACGATCGACTCACCTGGTGAGTAAGCAGAAATTAGCGTTATGCTTCTGTTCTTGCTCTCTGAAAACGTTTTCTGGCTCTATAAAGCTGAGTTTAGACAAGGCATGTCAATTGATCAAGTCAGTTGAATTCAACTGACTTGAACGCGAATTGAACGTGTAAACCATGCATTTCAATGACTTGAGCAACTCACTATAATTGAAAAAAAATGAACCAGGCTCAACTTTTCAAGCCAATTGAATTCAACTGAGTTGATAACTTGACTTGACTAGTCTAAACCCAGCTTAAGGCAATTAGCGCGGAGGGAGCTAGAGTAAACTGAACGGCGTCTGTTCTTTGGCTCCAGTTTCCTCGACATGGTCGTGTCACATGCTCTCACTAACGTTTCTGACAGCTTGACTGCGTTCAGATCCGCGGGGCACCTGACCTTCAACGAAAAGATCCTTATCGAAAGCCTTCGTCTTCCACTTCCGGTCGCAGGTTCTCGTCCTCCGTACTGGGTATGTATTTCGAACACTCTCCAATTCATGTTTACCACCAGCGATGGCCTGCAGAAAGTGACGTCGATAATGGATTCCCGGCCATCTCTGCAAAAAGTGCTGCTGGTGCCTTCGTTGGACAGTATAACTTCAACCTTTGCCAGAGCTTCCAGCAGACTGTGCCCTCTTGCATTGGATCTGCATCCTCCCTCTACTGTCCAAGCATTGAAGTCTCCTTCGATGACTACCGGTCTTCGTCCGATCAGCCCTTCGGTAAGTCCATCCAGCATCTCGTGGAACCGCTTCATCGTCCATCAGCCATCCCAGCTCTGTCCGCCACTCTCTTACCGTTATCATTTAAAAATAAATCTCAATCCTTTCAACATCAATTTGACTGTACTGAAATCACAGAGCCTACTTTGACCACCAATGCTGCGAGAATTTTGCCTAGACAACCAAACTCAGGATAAAAGTATCCTACAAAAACAACCGGGGATTGCTTGGATGAAAACTGACTCTCTGACGATCGAAGATTCAGAATGCTGAAAAAAATGTGAGGGGTGCGTGCCGTACTTTTTTTCTTTCTCTGCTCAACCCTTTGATATGCGAGCATGATATCGAATGAAGGAAAAAAAATGTGAGGGTACCGGTATGCAAATGACAGGGTGAGCTTGTAGTTTTTTCCCTCCTTACTCCAGACTGCTCTAAATTCATGTGAGGGTAGCACTCCCGGGCCACGGAAACCTGACGAGGGAAAAAAATAAATTATAAAACAGGAATTGCCTCGAGGTTTATTTGCATCCGTTTCGTGAGTGAGTGCGTCGGGTTCGAATGGGCTCGTCTTTTCGAAACATTCGGAAAGAATTTTCTCGCAACGACAAAAGTTGCCACAGTGTCGGAAACCTCTAAAGCAGTTCGGTGCGAAGTGGAAGAGCACGACTTCTAGCCATAATGCAATAAATTACTCCTAAATAATTGCAATTAAATTCCTCATGCTGATGAATGTGCTTCGAGGGATTTGATTAGAGTTGAGTAGAGTAAAAAAAAAAAAAAAAAATGAGGACTCAAGAGACAGACACGCTTTTTTTTCCTGCGTCTGCTCCGGGCAGGGATTCTGGGGTGGATGGACTTTTGTAGAGCAGAAAAAAAGGGGTGGATGGAATTTTTTTCATTAAACTAGTTGGGTGACAGGAAAGAGTTGCATCTGTCTGGATGCTGGGTGAAGCAAAAAATGTGGGTATCAGTTTTTTTTCCTACACTTGTTATGCAAATTAAAGCTGAGTTGTTTTTCGAACATTTTCGGTGCAATCCAAGTAGGCATTTGGAATGGATAAGGTCAGCATCGGATTGACAGAAGTTTCAACCCGAAGCCTCTTCCCCTGACGACAATCCATCACAATAGATCGCGTTGTCAAAAGCAGATAAGAGCGATTGTTTCAATATTCTCCTTTCACAGCCTGCTGAGCGATTGTCTTCATCGCGTCATCCCACCGCTACCCCATTTGCCATTAATTAAAATTAATCAATAAGAAGCAGCATCTTCTGCGCTCTCCAATCTGATTGGGCCAACATTTGAAAGCTGTTTCTTTTATAATGAAGCATTTGCAGGGGAAAAAAATCCGGAGCGCTGAAAAGAACATTCACTTTGCGCGAAAACGAAGAAAAGGAATTAATTTCCTTTTCTCCTTTTTTGTGTTTGAACTACGTAAGCAGAAAATAGAATTATCTTATTATAATTAATTATCTCGCCGGTTGGTTTGCCAAGCGCTGTCGTTGCTGGTCGGCCGCCATCACGCGCTACTTGCTTTTGATGTCAGTTGCAGACATTTCCCTACGCCTGCTTAGATAGGTACCTACCTACCTCCCGTCGAGAGTCCCTCGTTGCCGGACTTTTCAAATGGACGTCATCGTCATTGACTCCACCCAGTCAGTCAATGTTGCCTCATTTTCCCACCCAACACGAATCGTGTGGTAATTAAAAATTCATAACATAATTAATCATACTGTTTTCGAGATGATTGCCTACCTGAGAAAACTGTTTTTCTTTAGTGAAAAATTCCCTTTCAACCGAAAAACATATATTTAGTCGTACTGAAATTTGCCCGTTTCATCTAGAATCACTTTCCACAGCCTCCACCACAACCGCCACCACAACCACCCGCACATCCACCTCCACAACCGCCTCCACATCCACCGCTCTCCTTTTTGCGCAAAGCGCCCTGAACCGCCACCAACCGCCGCACGCAATCGCCCATATGGGCCGGCTGCAGCCTCTCCTCGCTCATCATCGCAAACTTCAAATGGCAATAGTTCAGGTACGTAATTCCATCCGAACCGCAGAATGGCTGCAAAATCTCCGGGCACTTTCCCTCCACCGACTTGTCCTGCTCGCAGAAGCCTTTACTCTCCAAATCGATCTGCGGATTGTATTGCTTGGCACAGCCGACCGCACACGGACTGCTGTAGGTCCTTCCGTCCGATCCGCAAACCGGTTGGAACTCGTTGCAGCTCTCCAAGCACTGGTGGTACCCATCGAATGCTCTGGGCTCGCGCAGCAGCTCCGTTCCTCGAGCCGATTCCAGCGGCAGGAATACGGGCTCGTTCGGACAGCGACCGTAGAAGGAGAACTTCACCGAAGGAACCAATTTGCCCAAGCAGCGCATCTCGTGTTTGTTGTAGTAGCTGAAGCCATCGGTGGCACAGATCGGATCGTATCGACTTTCCACGGCATCCTCTCGGTGGCCTGGTGAAAGACAGCTACCGAGCGCCGTGTACTGATCGTTGTTGAGCTCGTAACGCGGTGGATAGACTACGTAGGCGGCGTGGCCAAAGCTTGCTGCGATCAGCGTCAGAAGCAGTCTAGTTAGCCTGGGGCTCATTGTTTGATCGCGAGAAGTCGTCAGCGTGTTTGTACGTGTGTTCAATCGACGAGGCAATACTGAGATTGAAACGTCTTGCTGAGCAGCGTTTTATTTGGCTTTCGAGCGATGTTGTTGTTATTAGATTTAATGAACAGGTGCAGTTGAAGATTTCACTAAATCAGTTCTCAACGTGGTAGATATTTTTGTTTAATTTGATAAACACGTGTGCTGCCTCGGCTATAATTAAAGACTGTACTCGAAAAAAATGAGACACGCAAAAATACTCGCCACAAAATAATTTCAAGACGGATTTTCTTCAAACGTTCAGGGAATAAACTACAACATGCTGGTTAGGTTTCTACTTCATTGATTTATTGGATCATCCCAGACCAGAACGCACTGCCTGCTGCCTCAAGGAATCCCCTTAGCCACTCAACCCAGTCGCGCTTGCTGATTCCTGTCATCGTAGTCGTTCTGGCCCTGTGGTTGAGAATGGTGAAAGGGTCTTCCAACCTTCTACATCAGGCAAGTATGCGTTTGTTGAAAACAGTTCTTCCCCTGATCCGTCTCTGTGTTCCAGAGTACCACCATGCTCGTTTCGGCTGATCGATCATTCTGCAGACCTCCAACCGACTTCGTTCGACCGCCTGTTGGTGTATTACCAGAACGTTCGTGGCCTGCAAACAAAGATTGATGATTTTTTCCTGACTGCCGTTGACGCTAACTACGATGTCATAGTTCTTACGGAAACCTGGCTCGATTACCGCATTAATTCATCTCAATTATTTGGCAGTCTATTCACGGTATTTCGAAACGACCGCAACCACCAGAATAGTACCAAATTGCGTGGGGGAGGCGTATTGATTGCGGTATCCAAACGCCTAAGCTCCTGCATCGATCCTGCTCCAGTTTGCACTTCTTTAGAGCAGCTGTGGGTCAAAATAACGACGCTTCGTAGATCAATAAGTATTGGCGCTATGTATCTACCTCCAGACCGGAAATCTGATTCGAGCAGCATAGCAAACCACATCAGTTCGAACGACCTAGCTCTGATCAACTCGATAGAAACTGTCGGCTGCTTGATCTCGTTCTGGCGAACGAAGCTGCAGGACTGGAATGTTCTATCCTAGAAGCCCCAGAGCCTTTGATTGACATCGACACCAATCATCCTGCGTTGGAAGTTTCCATCAACCTATCTGTTCCTGTTCGCTAAGATAGCCCCCCCCCCCCCCCCTGTTGATGTACATGAGCTCGACTTTCGTAGAGCAGATTTCGTCGCGCTGAGTCACTCGCTTGCCCAGGCAGATTGGCAGTTCCTTGACACGTATTCATCTATTGATGAAGCCGTCAACTACTTCGCTGAGGTCGTTGACCGGGAAATAACTGATTCTGTCCCACTGAGGAGACCCTCTCCCAAACCCATGGTCCAATGCTCGACTACGGAATTTGAAGCGTCTGAGATCGAAGGCCCTCCGTAAATACTGTCGTACTCGTAACCCATTCACCAAACGATTATTTTCAACAGCGAGCAACGAATATCGCACATATAACCGCATTCTTTACAAGAGCTACACAAGGCGTGTGTAGGCTAATTTACGGCTTAATCCATAGCAGTTCTGGTCATTCGTGAATACCAAACGAAACGAGGAGGGGCTACCAGTCGAAATTCACCTGGGTGATAGAATCGCCAGCAATTCCCTTGAGAAATGTAATCTTCTGGCAGAACATTTCAAAAGCATTTTCAATGACACTACGGCTTCGTTGTCCCAAGTTGCTGAAGCGGTGAGGGACACTCCCAGTGATGCTTTCAATTTTTTCGATTACCTCGGTTACAGTAGACCTCGTCGAATCCGCCATCAAGAAGCTTAAATTTTCTAATGCTGCTGGCCCTGACGGGATCCCCTCAAGCATCCTGAAGCGATGCTGTTTAGATCTTACAACACCGCTTTCGAAGCTGTTCAATATTTCATTACAGCAGGGAGAGTTCCCTACGCGTTGGAAATCGTCATTCATGTTTCCGATCTACAAGAAAGGAGACAAGAGAAACGTCGAAAATTACCGAGGAATCACAGCACTCAGTGCCTGCTCTAAAGTTTTAGAAATCATCATCTACGACGCATTATTTTCTAGCTGCAGAAATTACATTTATCCTGACCAACACGGTTTTTATCCCAAGAGATCAGTTTCAACAAATCTAGCTCCGTTCATTTCTTTATGTCTTCGGAGTATGGAAGCTGGAGCGCAGGTGAACGTTGTATATACAGATCTTAAGGCTGCATTCGACCGGGTTGACCACTCTATACTGCTAGCTAAACTTGAAAAACTCGGTGTATCCTCGGGTTTAACTAGTTGGTTCAAGTCCTATCTGACCAATCGGGAACTTTGTGTTAGAATCGGATCAGAGCAATGGGACTATTTTACAAACAGCTCCGGTGTTCCTCATGAGGCCGGACTGATCCTCCCAACTGGTTGCCGTTCGTTCTACGCGGATGATGTGAAGATCTATGTGATTGTTCGTAGCTTCGCCGATTGCTTGCGGCTTCAGCACCTAATCGATACTTTCGAAGAGTGGTGCTCAAGAAACTATCTCACGTTGAATGTACAAAATTGTAATATTATCTCATTTCATCGCAAGCTGAAACCAGTGGCATTCAACTATACGATAAATCACCAACTTCTGCAACGTGTGGGCAATGTTCGTGACCTAGGAATCACGCTGGACTGCGCCTTAACATTCAAGCTTCATTACCCGGGCATCGTTGCGAAAGCTAACAGGCAACTCGGGTTCATTTTTAAGATCGCTGACGAGTTTCGCGATCCTGCCTGTCTAAAAGCTCTATACTGCTCTCTAGTGCGATCGATCTTGGAATTCAGCTCGGTAGTATGGTGCCCGTATCAAGCAGTTTGGATAGCGAGGATTGAATCTGTTCAAAGGAAATTTGTTCGGTATGCCTTTCGTCACCTTCCTTGGAATGACCCTGTGAACCTTCCGCCGTACGAAGATCGTTGTCAACTCCTGGGTCTTGAAACACTAGAACATAGGCGGACGAGTAGTCAGGCTGTGTTCGCAGCGAAAGTACTTATTGCTGATATCGACTCTCCAGGAATCTTGGCTGAATTCGAAATCTACGCACCCGAACGAGTTCTTCGGTCGAGGAATTTCCTGCATCTTGGACCTCGTGCTGCGAACTACAGCTTAAATGACCCAATACGGTTTTTGTCTGAGCGTTTCAACGAGTTTTACGAGTTTTTCAACTTTAACTGTGCAGCGGAAACCTTTCGTCACCGTATTCAACGCAGACTCTTGAGAAGGTGAGTAGCTGTCCATTTAATGTACACGTGAAGGATTGTGCAACCTGTTTATTTTTTGTTTCCGGTTCAACTGCATGACGAGGACTTCTACCTGATTCACGGACAACTCTATGCCATAGGAGGATAACTTTTTTTATGCTATAGACTTGATTAATGTTCGTTGTAATTGTATTGTATTATTGTGATTCGTGTATTTCGAAAAGATATGGGGTGTTTACGCCTTTTCTAGGCTTTTCCCCATCAGGCTTCATTTAGACACGTTAAGTCCGTTGAAGAAAAACAAATTAAATAAATAAGTTATGAATTTTGAGATTGTTTGTTTACAACTTCAAGCTCTCATGGATGATTCATTGAAAAACGGAAACAAATGTTATTTTTTCGATATTATCGATCATATTGATAATGCGGATGATGATGCACTTGTTGCTATTGAAATATATTTCTGATTAATTATTAATTACATTAGAAGCTGTGTTTAAGATTTATCTTCTACTAGCTGAGTGTGTCCGGTGGTTCCATTTGCTTGATCAGTTCTCGAGTTATGCAGAAATTTCTGTTTCATTTGTATGGGAGCCCCCCCTTACTGAAGGGGGAGGGGTCTCGAACCATCATAAGAACCTTCCACGGCCCCAAAAACCCCTGTATACAAATATTCACGCCAATCGGTTCAGTAGTTTCCGAGTCTATAAGGGTCAGGCAGACAGACAGACAGACAGACAGACAGACAGACAGACAGACAGACAGACAGACAGACAGACAGACAGACAGACAGACAGACAGACAGACAGACAGACAGACAGACAGACAGACAGACAGACAGACAGACAGACAGACAGACAGACAGACAGACAGACAGACAGACAGACAGACAGACAGACAGACAGACAGACAGACAGACAGACAGACAGACAGACAGACAGACAGACAGACAGACAGACAGACAGACAGACAGACAGACAGACAGACAGACAGACAGACAGACAGACAGACAGACAGACAGACAGACAGACAGACAGACAGACAGACAGACAGACAGACAGACAGACAGACAGACAGACAGACAGACAGACAGACAGACAGACAGACAGACAGACAGACAGACAGACAGACAGACAGACAGACAGACAGACAGACAGACAGACAGACAGACAGACAGACAGACAGACAGACAGACAGACAGACAGACAGACAGACAGACAGACAGACAGACAGACAGACAGACAGACAGACAGACAGACAGACAGACAGACAGACAGACAGACAGACAGACAGACAGACAGACAGACAGACAGACAGACAGACAGACAGACAGACAGACAGACAGACAGACAGACAGACAGACAGACAGACAGACAGACAGACAGACAGACAGACAGACAGACAGACAGACAGACAGACAGACAGACAGACAGACAGACAGACAGACAGACAGACAGACAGACAGACAGACAGACAGACAGACAGACAGACAGACAGACAGACAGACAGACAGACAGACAGACAGACAGACAGACAGACAGACAGACAGACAGACAGACAGACAGACAGACAGACAGACAGACAGACAGACAGACAGACAGACAGACAGACAGACAGACAGACAGACAGACAGACAGACAGACAGACAGACAGACAGACAGACAGACAGACAGACAGACAGACAGACAGACAGACAGACAGACAGACAGACAGACAGACAGACAGAC